ATAATTATATTTATACCTATTTTTGTAATATTTTAATTAATCGCTATTGATTCTGCTGGTCAACCAGTCATAAAACAAACACATCCATTTTAACGCTCAATCAGTCGTTCAAAACGCATAATAACGCTTGAAACCGCAACCGCCCGCTTCCGCAAATTCCTGCAACCGCAGCCGCAACTGCTACGTTTAAACCAGTCATGCCCTAAGTCTTCATAAATTAGTATTATGTTGTGGATTGTCTTCTCTGTGTAATAATGGTGAAGCTAGTTTTGTTGGATACAACTATAACGCCCTTGATTGTTTTGTACATGTGTCGACCAACACCAAGGGTGAAATTTGGTCTACACCATTAATTTTGTGATTTTGCGATTTAGTTTTAATATTCTGGTTAAATACAAAACTGATTAAGAAACCTTCAAATTTGTCTTAAACTCGACAAGCCTCTCTTTTTAACTATTGTGAGATATTCGCGTCTAGAAATAATGAGAGAGAGAGAGAGAGAAAGCTAGTGAGTTCGAATCAGAGAACAAAAGTCTGTTTTTATGTTGTCATGGAGAGGAGGAGGAATTTGTGGCTATTGGTGTGAAGAAGGTTGATGTGGTGTTGTTTCTTTGCTATCCTTCGTCCTAATCATTTCCAAATCAGAGGGTCATGCGTGACCATGGCTAATTTAATCTTGTTAGAATTTCTGATGTTTATTTTAGTGTGTTAGGACAATCACATGACCATGCGTGACCATGGCTTGCTGAATTTCCATGATCACAATCTATCTTTACCTGTATCACAAACACAATGAGATACGTGAGTATTATCAAAAGCACTCAATGAAAAGATCCCCCCATTTACTCGCTATACACACAAGCATATAAAAACAAACCAACATGCATAAAATTAACCAAACATTCAAAAGAGGCATAAAAAGACACGAACTACTCGTTGTCTAGAAATTTTGCTATCCAAAAATTAGTGTTGACCGATACCAGAAGTGGTGTCGACCGACATAGAGGCCAATTTCATGTTAACAGAGACAGACACCTGATTGGTGTCGATCAAAACTGCCTCCAAAAATTCCCTGAAATTGTCTCTCAATTTTCTTGAGAACGAATCTACATCCTTCTAGGCTCCAACAATGAATCCTAACAGTCAAACACGCAATCACATCAACCTAAACACACAAACATGGTAACACATAACAATTCCCAACCATCTACACATTCAAACACACATCAGAAAGGCTTAACATTTTCAGATCGACCATGGTCACGCACTCACCTCTGATTGGATTGAAAGTATATCAAAACAACGAAGAACATAGCAAGATCAGAACTCTCATTGCACCAACAGCCACGAACCTCCCCTTCTCCTTGCTAGAACTCACAAGAACAAGCTAGAGAGACCTCCAAAAACTCTAATAGAACCTCTATTTAAGCTTTTAGGAACAACCAATCACACAACTTACTCGCTTTTGTTTTCATGAAGTGACAAAAGACCAAAAGTGAGTACAAGTGGCTGCTTCACGAGCCTTATTAAAAATTAGGGATTTCTCTTTAAACACCTCAATTAGACCAAAAATTAAAGTTTAACCGCCAAACCGCCCAATATTGATGGTGTCGATTGACACCCACCCTTAACGTCGATCATCATTGCTCAAAACTGAGCATGGGTGTTACCATTCTCAGCCACTAACAAAGATTTTTCCTCGAATCTAGCAACACCGTTCAACTGCCTTAAACCAACAACCAACCGCTACCACGGTCTACCCACACTTGACCAAACCCGACCAACACACTATAACTTCAAGATCGAACTAATCATTAACCTTCGAGGTCTCCACTTAGTCTATATGCATGGTATCCACGTAAAAGACCTCACATAATCATAACTCCTCACTCTTAGGTCCCAATCTTAGAGTCGTACCGCTCTCACTCTCAGAACGTAGTCTTTGAGCCATACCCTCGAGCACTCTCAGGTTGCAACCTTCAAGCTAGCATTACACCAGAGGAACTAATCATCCTCTCAAGAGAACTAATCATATATGGTGAGTGATTTGACGAACTCACATCCTCTTGAGCAAATTGTCTAAATGCCTATCAACATCTCCCGACCAGAAATACCTGATGTGGTATTTGTACAACATCGCAATGTCGTACGACACCCCATATTACCTCACCAGAATATCATCTCTGTAACAACCCGCCCCGTAGGACCCAACTGCTGGCGCTGCAGCGCATCGACCCTAACCTCTCTCTTATAGGCCCAATCTAGCCCGCAGCCCTCTGGCCCACCAGGTAGGTTATTGGTGCGCTTGGCGTTCCTCGAACCCAAGACCTCACCCTTTAACAACCTTCCCACAGGATGCGCTGCAGCACCAGCAGTTGGGTCCCACGAGGCGGGTTGTTACAATCTCAACTTAACTTCTCTGCAAGTCTCTAAAAGCTCCCACTCTTTCCTAAAATAGACAAGTCTTAACCACTTAGAGCATCTTTAATGGGATAACCCGTCAGGGATTAGACCAATAAAGAAAGCCCAAAATAATAAAATAGTGAACTGAGAAGAAACATCCGGGTTTTAGTTAAGAAGTTTTTCTTCAGGGTGCTTAGGCCACGGCCATGAGTGGTCAGAGCATATCAAAAAGAAAAACATTTTTCATTAATCTTTCTTCTTACCATCGATTTCACTTCTCCTCTCTCTCCTTCCTACAACTTTTCTGTAAAGTGTGTGTGCGCTTCTTCGATTGGTATTGGAACTTGGGTTTTGTGAGATGGGTGTTGTTGAAGTGTGTGTGTGATTCTTCGATCGCTCTCTGCTTAAGGATTTTTTAAAGTCCAATGTTCACATCATCATAGTCTTCTTACGGTTGTTTTGGCGATCTGTTTGGAGTTGTGAAGATATTTTTGCTTGCATCACCTCTTCTGTTGAGTTTATTTTGGACAATTTCAGTTGATTCAAGTGTTGCGATTATCATGATGTGTTGATATTGATTGCGATTGATCTGTGATTGCTATGTGATGGATTTATATTCATCGCTTCCTGGATCTACTGAGTTTCGTACGTTTTTTTCAGGTTGTGCTAAGCAAGAAATAGCTTCTCCTAGTCCTCTTCCCGGCGTTACTAAGGAACATGTTCTGTTTTTTTAACTCGTCCTTTGTTGTTAATACATCGTAAAGCAATAATCTTTGAACTAAATAAGAGACTGGAGCTTTAGTTTTTAGCTTTCTTTATGATTGACATTTAGGTTTCTATGTTTTTTGCATTGCTTAGGGTTGAATTGTATCTTCTTTATTCAGATCTTTAAGCGTAGGACACTGTCATTAATTGTACAAGTAGATTTGGATTGGTGTTCTCAAGTTTCTCATTTTGCTTTTGTTTTCTCTTGAATTGAAACAGACGTTTAGTATGTGATGCACTCTCCTTTAATTGGTGTCCTGATATTGGGTTGAATTTGTGCTGATCACATTGTGTGGGACCTCGTTTATTTCAAATAGTGATAAAAGCTAAAGGAATATAAGTAATAAAAGTTTGTGACTTCTACTAAAAAGGATGAGGAGATCTCAAAACTCTCACGGGATCTAGAGTCTTTTAAGAAGTCTCGTGGTTTTTCCATGTTTGATCTGTTTCTTTGTTGTGTGATGCCAACTCTTTAATGTTGTTGCTACTCTCTCGTTGAACACTGTTGGTTTCATCTTTGAACCCATCTTCACCAAAGATTTAGAAATTGCAAAGTTAGGATTTTTATGTGTCATCTTTGGAAAATCAGATTTTGAAATTGAAAGTTGGAATCTTTATGTATATTGTGAGTGTGTTTTACCTGAGTGACTAGAGCGTAAAGAGGAAGAGTGACGTAGCTGCAAAGAATCTGGACAATAAGTCTGCAAGATCAAGAGAAAGCTTGGGACTTTGTTAGTTTGGGACAATAAGGTATGATTACTCAAGTTTAGTAAATCAGGAGTCTTCCGTAGCTAATTGTGCGACCATTCCCTCCACCATCTTTGTTCTTCGTGGCTTCACCGTATGATGAACTACGAAATATCTTCTCACCACCTTAGAGTGCATCGAGTCCTTGGGAGGATCTCATTAGTTCTTAGCCTCTATTACGCTAGTATAAATGGCTAAAGGTGTTGGTGGTTGGGGTAGTGGTCGTGTGTGTGGTCGCGGTAGGGGTATGGTAGAGCCTTAGGGAGCGACAAGAGCGTGGGCCAGAGTACCACGATAAACTTTGTTGGTGGATCGCAAGCGCATTAAAAGGGTCGTTGGGCTGACCGAGTGTGGGTGTTGTGGGGGCCATGTTGGCCAGAGGTGGTGCTGGTCTAGCTGGGGGTGTACCAGTGGGTATAGCCTAGAGCGGTTATAAAGAGTGGTACCAGTGCATGCTCTAGTGGGACCATTAAGAGAGAGTGCAGCCAAGGTTGGCTGGCGTGCAGCCGAGGTTGGATGGCATGGGTTTGCAGCTGGGGATTGTAGAGCTGGGGCTTGCGGGGGTGCATCCAGATGGGGTTGGTGTGCAGCCAGGGGTTGCGGGTAGATTACAAAAAAGGAGACGAAGAGTAGGAAAACGATGAATGTAAAGAGAAATAAGAAGACATAGGTGTTATTAGCCAAATGAGTATGAGAAAACAAGATCGATTCATGATGCCCTTGATTTCATATGATTTTTAAAAACTATTAAGTATATATATATTTTTAATTATGTATTTGAAGAAAATTTTGCATTAAATAGTAATTTAATTTTTTATTGATTAATATTGAATAAACATCACCAATCGTAAATAATTTTCATCAATATATATTAAATAAACCCATGTGTAGCGTAGATTTAAAACCTAGCTCCGCCAAAATGGTGCATGGAAGAAGAAGGATATGTTTGTGATTTTAAGGGTAATTCTGTATTTTACCCATGTTTTTAGAAGTTTTATTTACATGTTCGCCACTTATTCTTTGATTTAATATTTTTGTAATCATATGACATGAAGCAAAAATACTCTATTAGAAAAATAATAATTATAAAGACTCCACTTTATTACTTTATAATGATAATATTAATATTTAACCAAAACTACAACAACAAAGAAGTCCACTGCCAAGAGGAGCTATGCATGTGCATGTAGTATCTTTTGGGAATTCAGGCGGTCCACATCGATCCGTACAATCATAGTTAAACTTGCATGGACCTCTAAAATTACACACTCCAGGCATAATATCGTCTGCCTTCAACACTATACATCAAATTCCAACGAAAACAAAACTGTGATCATGAGTAGTGTATACTATATTTCTTTTTCCAATATAAACGAAATCATATATATATATATATATGCACAACAAAACTTTCAAGTAAAAATATATATATATACAAGTGAGTTTTATAAGAACTAAAAAAGACAAGAACAGAGTTAAATAAAATGTTTACCTTGAGAAGTGAACATGAGAGAATATGTGATGAGAAGGAGGGCTGCAAGTTGAAACTTTGACAAAGCCATTTTTGTTTGAATGATTTTTATTTTCTGGAACATGCCTACATATATATACACATATGTTAGTCAACACTTCTACACCTTAAATGGTAGTAAATTTAATGTGTTTAGAAAATAAGATAAAAAGGGTAGTAAGCAACTATGTTTGTTTCTAGTCAAATATATGAATCCAGTTTTGGTAATACGTTTTCATTTTCAGAAAAAAATCCAAATCCTATCTTAAGGATGATTTATTCCAAGAAAAAAAAAAGAGAAACAAATTCCTGCCCAAAACTAAAATAAAATCACTTCAAAACAATTCAAAATAAAGTGAGAAAACAGTAATGACATGACCCTTTTTAAGGCAATTTGTAGTTTATATGTAACTGAAATATGCTGGGGAAGTTTCTGATATTAATGTAGGTTAAATGGTGATGATGTGGTTTGGATAAACTTCATGACTTTTTCAAGTCCTAACTTGGATAAGAGGCTTGTGGTGTGTTCTTGCGACAACACTGGTCAGGCTTGGATATATATTCTGGGGGATACTAAATTGATCAGTAAAACTCGTATAGATGATATGGTTAGTTGTTGGCCTTTGCACTGCACCTTCGGTTCCTGCTCGAGACCGAAGAGAAGAACTGGTAGAAACACAAACGTAGCTTTATTACATTTTTGGCTTCTTGTTTGGTACGTTATAGAGAAAGCTGCCTAAATTTGATTTGAGTTTTGGTGTTTTAAACTATAGATTTTGCTAATTCTTCACTCTTTCTTTTTGGAAAATTTTAGATAAAAGCCATGAATTATTTAAGCTAGAGGCCATAGCCACAAATATTAAGGCACGTGGATTTGTTTTACTATTATATATTAAAATAAAGGGAAAATTCCATTAAAATTCTTCAACTAATTACGATAAGCTTTTTAATACCCCAACTAGTTTTTGTACCCAGAAAAATACTTTAACTTTTTTTAATACCCATTTTAAATCATCAAGTATGATTATTATATTACATTACATCATAGAGGAAACAGTTTCTTTATATTACATTACATAAGTATGAATACCCATTAAAATGATTATTATGATTACTCGGTTTCTTTCTATGATTTGGTTTTAAAAGCTTATGTTTTACTTACCCGATTGAGTTGCTCTAGTGGATTGTTGAGTTGTGCATTTGCAGGTTCTATTGCTACTCATTGTTCTATGTTAACTAGGAATTTTTTGTATTTGTTGTTGCCCTGCTTCACAATGTGGGTTCAATTGAAGTTTATTTATCACAATCGGTACCTTAGGCTGATTGTTAAACATGAACCGCAAATGAATTTCCTTAATTGAGCACTTTTTTCAACTCACTGAGATACTCAGCAGAAAAGCTTTTTTCATCAGTAGAAGATAACACAAAAAGATTTTTGGAATAAGCTTTAAACTTGAAAGAAGTGATGCTTAAATAAAAAAATCTTTAATAAAAAAAAATAAGTTAAAACCATCAAAAGATAACACCTGTCTTTTTAAATAAAAAGCTTTTTTCATCAGCAGAAAATCTTTTTGTGTTATCTTCTGCTGATGAAAAAAGCTTTTCTGCTGACTATCTCAGTGAGTTGAAACAGAAGCAGGATAAAAATGATAGATACGTGGCTGCTCTACGGGGAGAGACGCTTACCAGGAAGCCTTATCAAAGAATCCAACCAGTGCCAAAGCTAGATGACACAAAGACAACCAAACCTCAGTAAGGATGAATTCTTTGAAGGGTCAGTGTTAGTGGATGATTCTCATTTGGATCTTTATATATTTTGATGCAACGATGGCATGTTTCATGGCTGTAATGTTTTTTATTTGTATTGGCATCGGGTGGCACAACTTTTGTGCTACGTCAATGAATAAATCTCTAAACCCCATGTTTTGTACATTGCTTCTTTCTTAAGGTTTTTTTATATATAATTTTGACTTGTATTTTATTTGTCTTTTTATTTTCAAATCTGTTTTATATTTATTTTTATAAGTTTTCAATTTATTAATAATTTATTTAATTTTAAAATTTAACAATATATTAATATTATTATATTATTAAAACTCTAAGATACTAGAGGTTTAACCAATAATCACCTCAAAATCAAAAATTCTTAACTTACACTTTTTCATTATTAATATACCTATTAATGTATAAGATACATACTCAAGAATACACCCTTAATGATGCTCTTATGAACACAACATCATAAGAAAACTCTTATTTGCCAAAGTGTAATAGTGTTAAAACTAAACAAAAATGCATAATGAGAAAATAAGAAACAACTCTCTGAAACTGGAATCCAAATTGATAAGCTTATTCCTCGACTTGCTTCTCAAACCACTTTATGAATCTTGCTTTCATTCTTGCCTTTGATTCCCAAGTCTCTTCCAAGATACCATCACAGTCCCATTGGACTCCCACCAATGGAATCTTCTTACGCCGAAGTTCCTTGACCCTCCTCTCGAGAAGGATCACTGGTCTCGTCTCCAACGTCATGTTAAGTTGAAGATCTGCAGAAATCTTAGCCAACACTTCATCATCTTCATCATCGACACATTAAAAACCTCATTAATTGCCTGAATAACTTAGGGTAACTCTAGCCGATACGCAACCGGTCCAACCCGCTTAACAATCTTGAAAGGATCCATATACCTCCGAGTCAGCTTAGTAACGCTAAGGGACTTGTTATGAACCTGCGGCATAGCCATCTTGAAATACACTCTATTTTCGACCTCAAACTCAAGCTTTTTTCGCCTCTTATCGACATAACTCTTATGCCGATCCTCAGCTTCTCTCATGTTCAGCTTCCAAACCCGGATTATCTCCCATGTTTCCTGCACAAAATCCGCACCTAATATGCTCCTCTCCCCCACTTGGGTCTCGCATAACGGTGTCCTACATGGCCTCCCATACAAAGCCTTAAAAGGAGCCATGCCAATACTCGTCTGGTAGCTATTGTTATACGCAAACTCTACCAAGCTCAAATGATCCACCCAATGACCACCCCAGTCCAGTACACACATCCTCAACAAATCCAGTACTTCTTAGCCAAAACTGCCGCTCCATCAGTCTTCTTAATGGCCAGAAAATGTGTACACTTAGTCAACCAGAAGGGAAATACACAATTCTAACTTAAGCACCCTAAAAGACTAACATTTTCCACTTAATCTATCACATCCTCAAGAACCCTAACTTTACTCAGACCCATAGATCATCCTAAACATCACAAACCCATAATTCTCCAAAAATACAAAATATCAAAGATGACAAGAAGATAAACAACAATGATCAAAGAACTAAGTGAAAAATCTTAATAACTTAAAAAAAATCTGAATCACAATTTTCTAGATTCTTTGGTGGCTAACACGACAAAAGCTCGATCCCTTGGGCAATGCCAAAAGAGACATATTTATAGTAATGTTGGGAAAACCCTAATACATAAAATGACAAAAGAAAAAGCGGTTCAGGAAACATGTTGACCCTGTTGGTCGAGTAAGTGCCTCTAGTGACAAGTAATTTCTTCTCTGCATCATTTCAACTTACTCGACCAACTTATTCGATCGTGTGCCTCGAGTAAGACAATCGAGTGACATGATGATTCTTCTAAATTCCGGGAGCTAACTCGAATGTCTCACCCGATCTGGTTGCTCGAGTGGCTTACTCGACCAGTCTGGTCGAGTGACATCCAAAAACACTCTAGACGTCTTCGCTTACTCGATCCGTCCCTCGACTGATCCCCTTGAGTGACATGGTCGAGTGACATGGTCGAGTGACTCAAATTCTTCTGCTTTGCTCTGCATATCTCCTAAGTACCTGAAAATGCTCCAAAATGCAGAATGTATACATGACACGCATGATATGCGCAAAACTTACTTATTTATGCAAACCATGCAAAAGAGATCGAAAATGGTGCAAAATCAATAAGCTAATGATGCTAAAAAGATGATAAACACATGCTAAAAAGATGTACATATCATAGGGACAATGTAAAAAAGGTCCTCTCTATCGTCTAGGTACAATTATATTCCAGACCCCCGACATAGCTGGAAAGTCCCAAAGCACGTGAATGATAGATTCCTCACCACTCTTACAAACTTGACATGTACCACTATCAGAGAGTTATCAGCGTTGACGTTCCATATTTGTCATAATCACTTCACTCCCTGCCATAAAAACACTCTCACCTGGTCGGAAACCACAACCCGCCAAATACGAGCAAGAAACAAACCCAAGTACTGGTTTGGAGTGTCATCTTTCGTGAGAAGGCTATAGGCAGAACTGACTGAAAATTGCCCATTCGAATCCTCTCCCCAAGACAGCCAATCTTGCATACCAGTAACAGTGTCAACCACTACAACAGCTAAGCGCAAACGAACAGTCTCAGAAACATAAGGAACAATATTACTTAGGTTCCACCCGGTTTCATTACGCCATAGGTCACACAACCACACTAATTTAGCTCTAACTGGCAGTGGTTATACTCCCAAAGTGGACGGTTCAGTAGCCATTTATCCTCCCAAAATAAGACACTCTTACCGTTCCCTAGCACCCAACTAACCCCTGGGTATAACACCCAACTAACCCTAGCACCCAACTAAGAAATAAAGAAGATGATGGTATCTTACATTCTTTTTAAACTTAATTTTGATTATTAGTGTCAAATTTTGATAAACTATAAAATATCAGCTTTTGTAAAATTTAAAATACTAGGCATGCCACAACATCATAGGGTATGTACAAGATTTTGTGTAACCATCCATGTCATAAAGTAGAGACGATCCGAACTGTTTTTGCTAATAGAGATGAATATGTTTAGTTTTTAGCAATCAGAAATGAGATTAAAAATGTTTCTTCTTACATATTAGTTTATTTAGTGTTTTTAGTATTTTCAATGGTTTTAACTTAGTTTTTTTTTATTATACATTTTTCAAAAAAAAAAATTTATATCAATAAAAAGAAAATTTGGTTTAGTCAATAGGCTTCTTAGAATTTTTTTAAAATTTTTAAATCTTTATATTATTAATATTA